AATTAAACTATAACATTTTAATTTAATTTTATGTTCATTTCTTATTATTATTCATTTGTTAGTAATAGATTTCTTTACAGCAAATACATATTTATTACCTGGGCAGGTCAGGAGAATCGCAACTATTTTTTTCCGTTTAACATGTAGTCAGGCAAAACGATACCAAAGCGTACTAAATTTTTATGTCAGGCGAAACGGGAACATACCTTTGACTTTGACTTACTTCGGCTATTATTAAGATATTGTGGAAAATACTACAAAAGTAATTCAATTCTTTTCACGTCTGAAAATCGGGAAATGTGATTTTTTTACTGTGTGGCAAATTAGGTCTAAAAAATATGTTTATTATTTTTTCTGTTAAAGTTTGTGCACTAAAACCTGAATTACCCTCAATATTAAATGCCTTTACCAATTTTTTATCTAGTATTCCTTAATTTCTAGGAGCCACAGAAGAGAAAACAACTTTCTGGTGCAAAATTTCGAAAGCAAAAAAAAGAGTCCAAGAAAGGGAGAAGTTTCCAACACTGAAATGCTAGAGGAAGGTGAAAATACAGTTTCTGAAGCGGCGCACACTGGGGCAACAAGCCATCAAAGTTGGCAATAAATCACAGACTCTCTTTATGAATTTGTAAATTAAATATTGCTTTGTAGAGGTGTTAGTATTACAAATGAAAATACATAGAGGGCTTATAAAGTGTTTGTTTGTTAAATAAAGTTATTAAGAATATAATATAATAAAAATATTCTATTCTTCATATCTTTCTATTTTTTTTTTTTTAGCAAATAAACACTTTATAAGCCCTCTATGTATTTTCTTTTGTAATACTAACATATAATATAATAAAAATGTCATGAGCCTAATGAGGGCCTAAGTGCCGTGGGGGTAATCCACTCTCCGCACGTTAAAAATACAGATAATAAAAATGTAATATTATAATAATTTCATTTAGAAAAGTTATGATAATTGTAATTAAATGCCATCCTCTTTAGAATGTGATAAGACATTTTCTTCATCGTCTCCACGGTCATCATCAGTGTCATGAATATACCATGGCTATGAAGCTGGACGAGTCCAGATTTAAACAAATCTACTGCTTCTTTAGGAAAGTGCTGCAGGTTCTTTATTTTTTAATTAAGTAAAAACGAATTAAAGACATCCTCATTAGTTTTCTCTGTTAATTGGTCTCTAGGCAACAAAGCAGAAGATATTATTTCAGGCCCATGAATAAAGTATTTGTGCAATGTCGGAGGCATATTGACCGTGGGTACTTTTCAACAAAGTATCTAACGGTGTTGTGAGCAAATTCTATTAATTTCATTCTTTCCAGAACTTCTCATGATATTAAGAAGTTTCTTTCTCGATAAAAACATAGTGGCCGGAAAGTATATTTACATACCTACCAAATCAGATCCATTGAGTACAAATCGGTCAAAAACATAAAAACCAAACAACTTTGATTGTCTATATTTTACGAGTAAATGGACCAATCGTGCTCGGAGAGGTCTTAAAATAAAGAAAATAGGTTAGATATTTAACTTTTGTTATTAGATTTTATATTTAATTTATAATTATTACGCAAAACGAGCATAAAATGGGTTACTTTTAGGCTCGTTTTTTTTTTCTTCAATTAGGTCGGCCATCTTAAATTTTACATTTCTAGCATTTTGTTATGTCTGTCTGGGAGCATATTTAGTTGCCTATAAAATGAACCTCAGGACAATAAAATCGATTTATTAATAAACGAAATATATTAAAAAAACAGAATTCGTTTTTGATGATCGTCCCGCCATATATTTATATACTTTGAAAAAACCCAAATAGTGAAGAAAAGTGCAAATAAGTGCACAGAAGCTAAACGATTTCGAAAAGTACAAACAATATTCATTATGAAAAGTCGAAATTTAAAGCTTGGACTGCTTTGGAACACAACAAATAGCCTTCATGTATTTAAGAATATTTTAAAATTTTAACGTTTAACCTTCATTTTATTTAACCTTAATATTATAAGATTACGTTTATTTTTCTACAACTTTTTACTTATTAAAATAATAATACATAGCTGAACTTAAAGGCTCCATGGCGGAAATTTGAAAAAAAAATCAAAATACACTCTAATCACAGTACAAAAACAAGTTAAAAACTACAAAAATAAAATATATACTCGCCTCAGATAAGTAACTTTGACTGAAGGTGGCGATGGAACGAGTGAGACAGAAGATCGTACTTGTTCGTTTTATTATGTAGTAGACAGTGATATATAAGAAAAAAATATGAGGTAGAGTGTATATGCTATTTAATTTTTTTATTTATTGCCAAGTTTGAGGGCTTGTTGCCCCAGTGTGCGGCGGCACCACTATCTTCTGCAACATGTGAACCATCAACATTATCATCACTTATCGAAAATATATTCTCTATAGAGTCGACCATCCCAACAAAAACGGCTACAAGTGACACTTCTGACGATGAAGTTTCTACTGAGGCGGTGACTGAGAATACTAGTATTCTTATATTAGAGGACCCCGGTTTATGGCACAGAAGCATTACCAACGACGAAGTATGAATATTGGTTCCTTTGATAGGAAACAATTATCAATTTCCAGCTAATAAAATCGATATTTTGTTTTTGTTGTAAAATTTTCAGTAAGACTTTTAATAGTTTTTCTGATACTCATGGATTTTCTGATTGGCAACATATGTCCTTAGCCATAAAAAGACATGAAACATCAATTGTACATAATGTTCACATGAATACATGGATGAATTTAAAAAAAAATATTAAAATTATCCACAACCGTAAACGATCATCACTTACGGGTTTTAGAAACTGAAAAAAAATATTAGCATATCGTTCTGGAAAGAATTTTTGCAATTGTCAAATTTTTATCCAGACAATGTCTAACGTTCCAAGGTTCTTCTAAAATACTTTTTGAATTTGATAATGGAAACTTCCTTTAAGCTGTCGAGATGATTTCCTCTTTTGATCCTGTAATGAGAGAGCACATTAGTCGAGTGCAAAACTCACATACAAATTCTTTAAAAATGGCCCATTATTTAGGCCAGATACAAAACGAAATTAATGAATTAATTTATTCTAAAGTAAAAAATGATATTTTTAATATGGTTCGCAGTTCCAAATATTATTCAATAATTTTAGATTGTACACCTGATACAAGTCATACAGAGCAAATTAGCCTCGTTTTGCGTTATGTCGTTCTAAATGACATTTCTAAAAAGGCTCAAATACAAGAGAGTTTCATAGCGTTCAACCCAATATTCGACTCGACAGGGGAAGGGCTATTTGATTTTGTCGTTGGACTTTTAAAAAATTTGAATTTAGATATTAAAGACATGAGAGGTTTACAAAAACGCATACTCGATGCTAATCCAAGGGCATTTTTTGTGCCATGTACTGCACACAGTTTAAATTTAGCAGTAAATGATGTTGCTAAAGTTTCAAATGAAACAGTTAACTTTTTTTAATATTGTACAAGAACTTTGTATATTTTTCTCTCCATCCACAAAACGTGGGATATTATCAAAAAGCATGTCCCGAAGTTAAATCTAAAACCCCTAAGTGATACTAGATGGTCAAGTGGGATTGATGCTATAAGGCCGCTAAAGTTTCATTTAATTCAAATGTGTGATAGCCTTCTAGAAATAGCAGAAAATAATACTTTTAGCATAGAAGCTAAGCATAAAGCAAGTTCTATGCTATTAAGTATCCAATCTTTTAGATTTATTTGCAGTGTAATAATTTGGTATGATGTTTTATTCCAGATTGGCATTGTAAGCAAAATGATGCAAAGTGTAACGACTGATATTACAGTGTGCCAAAACTATTTAAAGAATCTAGTTGATAATTTTAAAAATTATAGAGATGATAATGTTTTCGAGGAAAAACTTGCTCAAGCTGGAGAACTAGCTGCCATTCTTGAGATAGAGCAAGGTTTTCCTATATTAAATACTGTTAGACGAAAGTATAAATCACAACTGTTCGATTATGAAGATCCAAAATAGCGTTCATAAATAATTTTTTTTTAAAAATAATAAAACACTAAGTTCTTTAAATAGTAGATTTGAAATGATATCTGATTACGAAAACGTTTTTGGTTTTTTAGTGATATTTTTAAATTAAATGACGAGGATCTTTTAAAATGCTGTGGAGCTCTGCAGAAAAAGGAGGAGGCTGACGTCGAAGAAAATGATTTATTTAATGAGATAAAAGCCCTAAGATTGTTTTTATTACCTGAAGAGTCAAATCCCCTCGACATTTTACAATATATATTTGAAAACAATCTCACTTCATATCTACAAAATATTACCATTTCGTTAAGAATCCTGCTTACTTTACCTGTATCTGTAGCTTCTGGTGAGAGATCCTTCTCAAAATTAAAAATTATTAAAAATTATTTGAGGTCTACCATGTCACAAGAAAGATTATCGGGTTTGGCAATCTTAGCTATAGAGCAAGAGATCCTCGATAAAATTGATTTTGACAATATTATAAAAGAATTTGCAGCAGCCAAATCCCGAAAAAAAAACCTATTTAATTTTTGGATAATTGAATGTTTTATTTGTTTACTGTTTGGTTTGTTTTTTCGTTTGTAAGAATAAAATATTGGTTTTTGAAATATCTGTTGTTTCATTACAAAATTAAAATAAAATGTGGTTTCGCAATTCGCTCAAATGTTAAACGACTACAAGAATATTACTGCAAACCAGGAAATTTAAAAAACATATATAACAGCTTAAAGTTGTTATTCTTTAAAATATTATTTATATAAGTACTACATATATTCAAAGGACGCCAAAATATTTAGGGCACGCGGGCGGCGATAACCCTTGCGGGGGCCCTGGTAATATTACGGTTTTCACGCGTGTTGGAACAGACCTATGTTATTAAACGGCTTGTGGTGCGTGTTTACCTAGGCAAAGCTAAAGTGATAATACCAGCAATTTTCTATTACCTTATTGACACAGCATTGGACATAAAACTTACCATTGAAAGTATATTTTCAAAAGCGGTTCGTGGAAGCACTGCCTATTTGGGAACAATGCGTCAGGACGACGGACGTCGCATTGAGGCGTCGACGAAGAAGCGCCGACCGTTAGAAAATGGTATCCCAGGTTGGTTATGGTCGCCATCTGAAAACTATTAAATCTGTATAACTGTTCGCCACTATTATGACATGTTGCAATCAGGTTATATATCCCAAATGGTAGGAGCAAGTCAAAGGATCTGGAGTGGGGTAGAATACCAGTGTGCATGTTGTATCAATAGTACTAGATGCGACTTTACAGGAGCAGCCATTTTTATTCTTGAGAGTATTTTAAAAAACTATTTTTCTCGATGATGAACTGGATACACTTTTCAATTGCATGGATTTCCGCTAAAAAGATGCTTGGGTATTTGTCCAAATTCTCAGAGTACCTAGTTCTAGGTCTATACATTTCTATTCCACTTCTTTCTATGGTTTTAGAAGGTAAGACATTGGAATTTTGTCGCATATTATTTCAAGTCCATTGTAAAAAAGGTGGAATGGACTATCAAGAATTAACCAACTGTTTCACTTTATTCTCCAGTAGCAGGCAACAAAAATTTGAATGAAATAAACACCTTAAAGACTATAAGAGATTTAAAAAAAAAGTTAAGTATGTATAAAATTGTCTTTATTGAGTTAAGAAATATTATTTCCATCAATCAAGTAATTACTATATTATCCTTTATATTTGACTACATGCCTGTTAAACATAATGAAACATATAAGGATTAACCGGAAAATAATAAAAAGTCTCGCAATTTATTATCTAAAGTAGATAACATAAAACGGTGTAATCGTACTTATTACTATTCAAACATATCTATACAACACGAAAAGACATATTTTAAATGAAAAGAAAAATATGTTAACGAACTATTGTTATAATCTAATCAAAGAGAAAACTACAAAAGAAAAAATCGCAGAAAATATGCACGAAACCGTTTCTCGGAATTGTTCCCGAGATTGCAAATTCAAAGTTAACGATCGGTATTTCCATATGAGGCGCAGAGGAGAGATTAATTAACAAAGAGTGGCATGTATTTACTATAATAGCGAGAAAACATAACTAATAAAAATATTATAATAGGTATAACGTGATTCTGAAGCTTTGTTGATCATGCGTGAGTCATTTGAAAAATTATACCTAGTTTCCGTTTACTTATAAGTCTATTATTATAGGTAGACTATTGCTTCCACCAAATTAAACGGCGATACTTAAATTGGTAGAAAGAAGAATAGGTAATTTCAAGAAGTTGAAACGAAGATGCTTTAATAATCATGCACGTTGTTCCTAAAAGCTACTTAATGCATTTACAATGTAGGTATAAAGAAATAAAATAATTTTCTTTGTCTGTTTCATGGCCGTGGATGTAATAAAATTAAATTGGTCTTTTCTGATATGAGTCTAAGACAAGAATTCTACTGAATCTGTATCTTCGTAAAATTTGTAAAATAAAGAGATAGTCAAGAGACAAAATTGGAGTAAAATTATTACTCTTAAAGTTCTAGCGAAGAAAAAACAACATTTAATTCTCAATCATGTGTCTCACACTCTAACTATTAATAGTTACATTACAGATTACTCTTTAAATATCGCTTGATATCATTAAACTTCATAAACCTACACATTAAGATTGAAAACACCCTTGCAAAATTTGAAGTTAATAACCGAATGAACCAATTTTTCTTTTAAATGTCAAGTAATAATAAATGAAATTGTAAGTTTCAATTTTCAAGGTATAATAAGATTCTGTTTCGTAGTGGAAAATGGAGAATTTTTATTAGCGATTTTTTTATAAAAAAAATTACTACGCCACTGGATTTAGAGTACATCCTATTAGCTGTGACCATAAAATATATAATTATAAATAATAAAGTTTTGACCAATTAAAATTCAAAAACTTACTAAGGTAACAGTCACAATAAAAACACACGGTATCAACAGATAGGCATGGAAATTACAATTTTTTTTAACAATTCTAACAATAAACCAGTATTGGATGAAAAAAAAAATAGTTTAAAATAGCATAAACACTTAATAAAAGTAATTACATTTCACTTTACACGCAATTGAACTAATAACAAAACTGAATAATATATTAAAATTAACGGTAACTGTAAATTTGTGAGATCTAGAGATCTTGGAAAATATTCGTTAAGTCATTGCATCACAGTACTGGCATCTGAACATCCATTTAACTGAACAAATAAATTTAAACATTCTGTGCGTTTATGTTTTCTTACAAAAGATTGGAGCAATAATTCACCCCAACAAACGTTGATTTTTTGAGAAAACTTTTACAATGTATTACCCAACGGGGATTGTCTTCTGCCCAATAGCGACAATTTTATGACGTTATTACTCCATTTGTAGTGAAAGTGGTTTCGACGGTAATCAACGTATTTTTTAAAAATTTTCTATTTTTTTAATATTCCCATTGGGCGCATAAACAATATTTCAAACGTTTTGATTCGTCGGCGTCGCCCGCCTTCTTGTAGTGTTTGTACAAATTCTGGTTTTTTTATTCGAAAGGTTTATTGTGGTTTGACTTAAAACATTGCCGAATAGTTTCTCTAGGCACATTCAAATCGAAACTAAAATAATTTAAAATGATTTGATCATTTTCGTTTTTTTTTGCAGAGGATTACTTTTTAAAGGCAGTTTTGATAGTGCACCAGTTTCATTAAATATTTTGTAATATAATAAATAATACTAACATTATGTTTTTAAATATGCTTTTATTAAATACTCTGGTACTTCTATCAACTCCAAAACCGCCGAAAGACAAAATTAAGGTCTTTCATATTACATTTCTAAAAAAAAACCCCATCTTGTATTTTACGTAAACCAGCACTCCTCCCTTTTGTGGCGATCTTCTGAAAAAATAAAACGTCCTCATCTAAAACTGCCGGGCTCCCCTTGTACTGCTGCCGGACCCCCCCTTGTGCCCGGGCACCTGGTATTTGTCCCGCCATCCCCCCCCCCCTCGTGGGTCCCAATCAACTCCCAAATGACGTATAATTTCAATGTTGTCTTTTACACTTAGGTCCGTATTTAGAAACAGAACTTACCTGAGTCGGACTTGGGTAAGTCGTCCTTGAACTAAAATGGAAGTTCGGTTACAACGTCTCTAAAGTTCTAGGTGGTTCTGGTGTTAGACTAGACTGGCATTTAGAGATGGATAGTAGCAAATCTGTACCTGGTAAATACATTTACGAATTTGTTAGTACCCATCTCTAAATTCACGCGATATAACAGAACTTCGATTTTCGTTTAAGAACAATTTAGCTGAGTCTAACTCGGGTGAGTTGGACTTGGCTGAGATCTGTTTATAAATATGGGCCTAAAGTTCCATATGGTTCCGGTGGTATACTGGAATTTAGAGATGAATAGTAGCAAATCTGTAACTGTAAAGTACATTTACGAATTTGATCAGTGGCGTAGCCAGCCATTTGTCATGGGAGGGATTTTTCAGAACTATGGGGGGAGTTCCATCAAGAAAGTGAATAAAAACAAACAGTCAATAGCCAATACTATAGCGAAAATGGTGACGCGAGGTCCCTGCATGGGGGATTCTGACCTCCAAAAGATGCTACCGAACTTCGATTTTCATATTAAATTTTTTGTAAAATTCAAATTGTCTGTATTCTATTTTATACAATTTTTTTTTTTTTTTCAAATTTGCATCCTTTTTCAAATTTCCTTCTTTTTCAAATTTGCCTCCTTTTTCAAATCTACCGATTTCTACCCATTTTTGACCACCGATTTAGAATGGCCAATGGTGTCTTATTTAAAAATGTTGAGTGCAAACTCAATAATGGGAATTCAGATATTTTTCTTCCTATATCAAATCTTGTATTTAACGTTTTGAAGCCATTTTCTTGTTCTAAAACAATAAATAATAGATTAATACCTACTTTGTGATAGTTGGTTACTATTTGTGTTACTTACATGACTAGATATTACTTTGGTTAATTAAAGAACGCCACATTAGGGTGCTTAAAGTTATTCATGAGGCATGTGTTACTAATGCAATACGATCTCCAACTTATTTTAATATTAAAAAAATATAATTATTGTCCTCAAATTTTTAACAAATACAGATACAACTATTTCGCTTAGTTCATCTAGAGGATCGTACAATCATAAACTCAAAATTTAAATTCAGGATTCTTTGATATACACAAAACTAACTGACATTTATATTTACAAACTGTCCACTGCTGTCCACATCTACTGTCTGTTTCAGTGTTACCAACGTACGATTTAAATCGTATTTATACGATTTTTTAACTCTGTAAAATTGCACCAGTGAGATCGTATGTAAAAATATGTGCAACAACTTTAAAACATAAAACAATAAAAATCAAAAACTACCTGCAAAGATTCATAGGTCGTTCGTAATTTTTGAAACCAGTAATTTTCGATCTCACTTATCATGATTTTGACCATGGTGTGATTTTGTACCAACACCGACCATCACGGCAAAAGAAAAGCTTGCATGCAAAATTTCACTTTCAAGTGATAGTCATTGATTACTTTAAATGTGTTAATTTAAAGTTTCATTTACTTTCTTTTTTTTTATCTTGTGTTTACAAATAGATAAATAAATTATCATGTCAAAGAATTTTTTAATTTTTTTTTATTCCATTTAAGTTATATTATGGTATACATGTATCTATTGTACAATTTTTTCTCGAAATAACATTTTACTCTACTTGTAAGATCTCTCAAAAAAAATATTTGGTAACACTAGTCTGCCTACAAATGACGTATACCTGTAGTTAATATCTGAGACGCATAGATGACGCCATCGTTGCTGCAGCCGTTGCGTTTGTTATCTTTATGTTGCTAATCTCTGGCTGTTTTTTATAAAAAACGTTCCATCGATAATCAATCAATGAAGTCATGTAATGTGAACAGTGATGAATTTTGGCTTGAAAAAAACTCTCCTGTTCTTTATAAATCCCGATGTGTCATCAGTAAGATACTGTTAATAATAAAACACTGCCACCTAAAAAAGAACACATTTACTAACCAAGCAGCAAAATTAGCCCAATCGGATTAGGTGAAGAACAGGCTTGAGATTCTGAAAAATTCGA